ATTCCAGTTCCTGGATCTTACGCTTATGACATATTTTGTTTAGTTAAAGTGATGTAGTCGTCTTTGATATACTTTTTTTTTTACTTCAGAAATCCAGTGTAGAGGGAAACCAAAGCAACTTTTTATTATCTCTTGAGGGTAATCTCATTGAAGAATGTAAAACGTTTTGTCAACTAAATACGCAAAAGTAGATTTATAAAAAAAAGTAGATTCATTTATTTAGGGGAACTCAGAGAAACATTGCTATTTTCAATCTGAAAGGTACCTCACAAGGGCCAAATGGCCTAAGGTTCAGTCTTAGCTAATCTTAAGTCAGAACTAATAGCCAGGGGGATAGCAGCGAATCAGAAGCATATGACTGTAACTTTTTAACGCGTTCAGCAGAAATTGTAGATCTTGTTCAGAAGCATAACACGAACTCGAATTACGGAGCTCCCAATTTGTATCCCGGCACGTTAATCATTAGGACACACCCGGCCAAGGAACTCGGAGAGGGAGATCAACTTTTGTATATTAGATTAAAGTTGCACATTAATAAAATTACTTTAAAGAGAAAGGAAACACTTTATGAAATTTAAGACTTTAGGTTTAAATTAGAGTCTAAGACCTCTAAACTTGGAAATTTAATGTCAAAAGACGTAGTTTTTATCAAATTCCTTACTAAAATGTCATGACCCCGATAGTACTAATATAGAACAGCTTAGCTTAGTTTGTTTACATCTAGAATGTAGTATGTGTCATCAATTTAATTTAATGTAATAGCGATGAAAAGACATTTCGCTATGTACAAATAACCCATTAGTGTTTTCCTAACGAGAAGAAGAGAGATTTCTCCTTAGAATAATTTGACTCAGGTGTGATAAGCAAGGTATAATGAACAGAAAGATCTATCAGAGCAGTTTAATCAATCATTGGCGCTTCTGATGAGAAGTGCTCAGTTCAGCACTATGAGTATACAAGCTTTAATTAACTATAAAATTATTTTCCTGTGTATCGTTTAAAGATTTTATACAAACACATTTTAGTCCAAGTGAGTTCCGAAAACTAGGAATATACTAGAATTAACACAATCGTAATAATACCGTATAGTTGCATTTATTAGATCCTCCATTACCATTTTTATTATCTTAGAATATCCAAGCTTGAACATTTGTAGACTGTGATGGTTATTCTCGGCTTTGTTGACCACATATAGATGATACTTCAAAGAAAATGTCATGGCAACGAAATAATCAGAAAAGTGACCATCATCGCAATCGCATCCTCAGAAAAGAAAATATCAAAATGTTTATTTTGTTGTTAAGCACAAGACTGTAAAAGGTAGGAATCGAACCCCAGATTTTAACATATTCCTCTCAAGCTTACCTCTGAATCATTGGGACGTTAACAAAAGGATAAAAAATTATATCACCTATATTTAAAAATTTCATTTAACATAATGGTTTTGGTGTAGAAGTGCTACATGTATATGTTATATTTTTATGAAACAATAATAAATGTTTTCCGTGTGTTCTGACTTCTAATTTTTAAACATTTTACAATTAACCAGTAAGATAGACAGATTGTTGGTACATAGATTTTATTAACTGATTTGAATTTTTTCCACTTCAATCTAATACGTACATTTAGGGTAAAGGTACGATGTATTATTAAAGTAATATATATCTATACTAATTGCTTGAAAAAGTTTCAGACCTTAAGAATTACGAAATGCTTAGAAAATGAGAAAAACAGCTTTCTGTAATTTTTTGTTTATTCTAACCGTTAAGAGTCGCTTATTAAGTTATCAACAACCTTTACGGCTTTTTATCAATTTCTGTGGCGTCCTATTATAAAGAAGTCAGTGTAACAAAAGAGGAGACTTTAGGGTTGCATAGCTACAAACAAAAACTCTAGAATTATGGGTTTCGTTGGTTCCAACACTAGATCCTAACTGAAGCTGAAGATAATTGAACGATAGATTACACGAGGGCCCACTCTGGGTCACTAGACATTAGCACAAGAATATGTCTACATTTACTAATTATAGATAACGAAACTTCTCAACAAAAAAAAAAAACAGCACAAAAACAACAAAAAACGTGCTATTTACAGAACCTAATAGAGAAAACAAAAGCTGTAGACAAAGAGGTAGAAAGCAAAAACCAATAAAATTGCATATCAAAAGATTTAAAGTTAAAAAAATAAGCTTATGGCAGCGTGTACTGGACAGATAAGAAAAAGCCGTGAGAAGGCTAATAAAAAAATCAGTGAAATAATAAAGGATAGTTGCAGGGGGATATGAACAACGAGGTGTTATATGTGAATAATGGCCCACCGTTTCATGCAAACCTGCCTGTGTAAACAACATGGAGATGTTGAAATGGCAAATAAAATATTTGAAGTTAATTATCTTTGTAGACAAGACAAATTTATTAAATTTACTTATGTTATTTGTAACAATACTGTTTTAAATTGTAAGCTTTTCATTTTGATGTGATAAGTATTAATACTGTTTTATATTGTAAAATTATTTTGATGTCATAAATATTATCATTTTTATATTGTAAAATTATTCCAAAGTCAAACACTGTAAAACACAAGAGTGGTTTACTACAGTATAATTCTTTGGAATAAACAATATAAGGAACATAGTAACATTCCATTACAATTCTGTTGAAATACTTTGCTGGAACGAGTTCGCTCAAGAAATGGACTCTGAACAAGAATTAACTTAATTATGAAAACGTTTTATAAAGTTCAACGATCAAAATTTTTTCATAAAGACCAGTACCAAAATCGAATGAAAAACTTATTGAAATCAAAACCTCCGTGTTTTTAAGTTTATCTAGAACAGTGGACAAAAAGTTAAAATTCTCAATGCTTTTTACAAATATAACTATGATAATAAGAATAATATTTACATTGAATATTTGGTTCAGCTGTCCGGCAGACAAGGCTGGTTGCATTATATGATCATTTTTGAAAATTAAAAAAAATGGTATTTGAATAAGATCGACTTCACGGTACGTGGGAAGACACCTTTAAATAATCAAATTAATTTACTAAAACTGAAGATAAGCTCCACCCTTGGAAACGGTCTTTTCAGCATTACAATTACGTGAGATGTATTTGAATAATTATTTTACTGTTTACTGCAGTATTTGCACCGGAAACGATGAGTTTGACTTATTTTCCCCAAAATGTATTGAACGATTAATGGAAAGAACGTTATTAATTTGCAAAATTTGAACATTGAATCATTCTTAAGATATTAGATTTATATAAACAAAAAATACAACCTAGGTGACTGCAATTTGGATAAAATAATCGAAAGGGATCATTCAAGAAACGATGGTTTGAGAGAGCATTACAATGTAGATGGAATATGAGACAAAAATATATCCCTCACGGTCTGGCCTGGTATGTTGTTGGTCTAGCCATCTGGAATATTCTCAGAGTTAATGACGTAGTGGTACCATGATGATATTGAACACGGCAGTTTTGAGTCTACAACTACGCTGAAATCCGCACCAGGATTTCTCCTCTGAATGTCGCGACGTTTTATTGTAACTGTCACAGCATTAAGAAAATATCCCTTTCTGACGCTCAATGTCAACTGAACAAAATGTAAAAGTTTAATACCCGTCGAATTAGAAAATGACAAATAATGGAGAACAAACATAATACATCCATTATACGCATTATTACACTCGTCTCTAGTTTAAGACTAAATAAATTATCCTTACTAAATAACAGTTGATTAATACTACACTTCGGAGCCTTATCAGATAAGGATTAATGTCAATGGTCTATGGCTCTAGGTGTCGTTTAGCATTCATAATGTTTGTAGATTAGCCAAACTACAACAAATCCTTAACTGAATGTTTATAGTAAAAGCAGTTTAGATTTTCTGTAGCTCAGTAAGTACTTACACTTACAAGAAGGACAACTTAAGAGATTTTTACACACACACACACATGCGGCATTTATGGGGAAACTTTGACAGATGAATGCTAATGAAAAATAATAATTCTGATTATGAAACAATCTTCAAATATTCTGAATAAATTTTAAAACACGCGTTGATCCGAATATTAGCACTTATTGATACTTAATTAATGCAAGACGTTTTTCTTAGTTGGTTTGTATCAGAATGTATTATCTGAATCTTACTATAATGTATTTGGATATAATCGAAAGGTTTTATTTGATTTGAATCAGAAATGTTTATTTGATTCTTACCAACATATGTTATTTGTTTGGATTCTGAACATTATATTTGAATCTTAGAATAATATTTCACTCGGTTCGTATCAAATAATTTTACTAGGTTATAATCAAAAGATTGACATCAGACATCTTTGCTTGATTCTTATTAGAATATTATACTGAGCTGGATCAAAATATTTCACTTGATTCACATTAGAACATGTTTTTCACATGTTTGTGATCAAGATATGTTATTTGGTTGATATTATGAATTTTTGTTTAGCTTTAGTAAAAAGATTTGACTTCATCCCAACCAAATATTTTACGTTGTTAGTGTTAGAAACTTTTACTTCGTTGCTATTAGAAAGTTTTACATAATTTGGACCAGAAAATTGTTTTTTTTCTTTGTTTTCTTTATCTACACATTTTACTTAGTTCTAACTGTAAGCATTTTATATTTTTCCTTACCAGAAAATCAAACTTAGATTGTATCAGAATAATTTACTTGGTTCGTATCAGTTTTACTGCTACTAATACCCATTAGTGACAAGGTTGGGTATAAGAGTTGTCTTTAGAAAGAGAATCCAGAAGACGAATCGACCGCATCTGCCGTATAATAAGTCCTAGCGATCGCTTAACAAACAGGTCTCATTCCGGTCTAAAGGAACGTTTTCTCAGGCAAGCTAAGCCTCGTGTGTCTAGAGGGTATTTCGGAACCCAAGTTATTACGACATGCTTTTTTAGAAAACTATAATTTTATTATAATCTTAGTAACTTCTAAAGGGTAGTTATTTTTTAACAGATCTTACCTGTGGTACGAAGGTCCTCCACGTGCGCATCAAGCCACACGCTTTTGCGAGCTTATTGAGAACACGTCCTCTCGGGCAACTCACGAGCAGCGTATGAACACACGGTTAGATCTGCTGTGCACTGCCTACTAGCCTAGACTAGAGAGTAGCAGCAGCAGGGATACATGCCAATGTAGATTCCCCGACAACTGCTGCCTGGATGACGAGGGAAAAGCTGCCATACCTCCCTCCTCAACCCACGTATTATCCACATACCTACTCAGATTGGTGCCCCTGATTATCAAAATTTAATAACGACTAGCAAATGGTAGCTATGTTACTTATTGTGGACGAAAAGGGTTGGGCGCATTACTTTAATTCATCAGCTTTCCTTAAGCGAGAACTCTCAGAGGAATAAACGTCAGACTCCATAAGATGTAGCGCATTTCATACTGTAGATGAGCGATCGTTCGCATTAGTTTACAGATAGAAGAGAAGAAAGGTTAGATCGGTAGCTCCTGGTCCACTCTGCAGAGGCTGGATGAAGTTAGGAGAAGTTAGATAAGGCACTCAAGCCCAGGATGTAAATTGATTTAAAACGAACACATCTATCTTCGCTGATTTCCAGGTTGTTTTACCACCTAATGAACTATATATTTTTCAGGGAAAAATATATAAATTTCATATAAGTTTTAATTGATTTTTTTCATCCTTGTTTTTTCTGGCACTGATAATAAAAAAACAATAAACGCTACTAACAAAATTTGATCCTTTACAAATTACTTTTTAATTCCGAAGATTAACATTTTAAGAACAAATGAAAACAAAGTTTTCTTAGCATGATTTTCGTGACTTATCTTTAACTTGATCTAATATTTAGCTGCGAAAAAATATTTATCCTTAACCTACGGTACTTATCTTCGTCGTATTAATTTAGACTTAATGATCATGGTTACGTTTGAGACATCCTGGTTGTTTTAATTTAGAATAAATTATCATATTTACGTGTAAGATATCCTGGTTGTTTTAATTTAGAATAAATTATCATATTTACCTGTAAGATAACCTGATTGTTATAATTTAGAATAAATGATCATTTTATGTGTAAGATATCCTGGTTGTTTTAATTTTGAATAAATGATCATACTTACGTTTAAGACATTCTGGTAGTTTTAATTTAGAATAAATGATCATGTTTATGTGTAAGATATCCTGGTTGTTTTAATTTCAAATAAATGATCATACTTACGTTTAAGACATTCTGATTGTTTTAATTTAGAATAAATGATTATATTTACGTGTAAGACATCCTGTTTGTTTAAACATAGAACATATTATCGTATTTACGTGTAAGACATACTAGTTGTTTTAATTTAGAATAAATGGCGGTATTTATGTGTAAGTCATCCTGTTTGTTCATGTTGAAGTGTTTACTCACTAGTATAGCTCTTCTTTTAGATTATGTTTCGGTTATTTTTATTTCTTATTGTCCTGTTTCAAGCTTCAAAGCAAACCTAATTATAACTATTTATTATTTTACTTTCAATCATTTCCACGTGGACACTGTTACGGCAAACACAGCACCTGTAAAATGCTGTTTTTTTAAGGTAACAATTTACAACGCGGCACAAAATTACAGTGGTAACCCACACAAACTATTTGCGTCAGGTGACTGCGTACACAAACAGCACACATACGTTATAAATAACGACTAATTTTAAGATAATTTCCAGGTTATTTGAACACCATTGTTGTTTTATTCAGAAGATGAGCTGTTTTGAGTTGAAGAACTTGGCTTCACTACGTGCAATAAATACCTTGTGTCGATAAAGTAGTGAAAATGGTAAGTAGTCTGCCAGTTGTTTTAATACTATGGTTGTTTTATTCAACTGGTAAACTATGAATTGTTTTAATACCATTGTTGTTTTATTCAACTGGTAAACTATGAATTGTTTTAATACGAATATTGTTTTGTTTAGCTCATAACCTTGGGATTTGTTTTAATAATATTTTATTCAGCTGATAACTTTTCAGGCTTTTAATACTAATATTGTTTTACTCTGTTAATAGTTTGTTGACTTTTTAGCTAAAATTAGCGATTTGTTTTAATACTATTGTTATCTTATCCGGCTTATAACTTGTAGGTTCTTTTAATATCATTATTGTTTTACTTAGCTGATACCTTGTGGATAACTTTAATACTATGATTATTATTTTTAAATAATATCTTGTGGATTGTTTCAATGCTATTGTTGTTTTATCAAAGCTATAACTGTGGATTGTTTCAAAACTATTGTTGTTTTATCAAAGCTATAACTGTGGATTGTTTCAATATTATTGTTGTTTTATCAAAGCTATAACTGTGGATTGTTTCAATACTATTGTTATTTTATTCAGCGGATTACCTGCGGATTGTTTTACATCACAGAGTTTGGTTTTTACAACCTACAATTCATTGTATCAGAATTTCACAGAATAATATTTAGTGTTAACAGATGCTGACAATGTTTTTAAATACATTTCTCTACTCACAATAGTTTACGTTTATGAAACATAGTTCAGTAATAAAGATAATTTTGATTGTGAAACAAAGAAGCAATAATATTTACTGATATAATTTTATTCCCACAATAAGGAAAGAAATTATGATCCAGTGATAAATCAGTAAAACCTTTGGTGACAAGAAAAACGATTCATGGTTAGAGCATCGTAATTTTTAGTAACAGGACAGGAATTATGAATACATAGAGTAGTGGCTTGTTTAGTGATAAGACAGAGATAATCAATATCAATAGATAATGGCAGAATCCTTTCTATCAAAAATATTTCAAATGTTTTTTGCTTAAGTTAGCTTGCTTTTAAGTCTTAACAATTAACGTTATGATATCTGCTTAATAACACACGAACTTGCTTTGGGAAAGGGGATTTTTAGGCAACTTCAGACTTATTTTGTTGTTGTTTCGTTGACACAATTTGTAATTATGTGACAGAATTAGTTAGCAGACTAGATGTAATCAAATATTTTGTAGTCACAGTAGTCAAGAATTTTTCCTGTGACGTCGACACACTCGCTTTTAGTCTGTTTGTTTTTGAATTTCGCGCAAAGCTACACGAGGGCTATCTGCGCTAGCCGTTCCTAATTTAGCAGTGTAAGACTAGAGGGAAGGCAACTAGTCATCACCACCCACCGCCAACTCTTGGGCTACTCTTTTACCAACGAATAGTGGGATTGACCGTCACATTATAACGTCTCCACGGCTGAAAGGGCGAGCATGTTTGAACAAACATTAAATATTCTCGAGTTGCACTTAACAGTAGTGCGTATACTTTTGTTATTTTACTCCTGTCTCTATTCTTAGTGTGTTTCTCTTAGTTGCTGAAAAAGATTCCATTCCCTTATGTAAGATATAAAGACTAGAAGAACAACAGCGTTATTATTTCATTAAGTTATTCCACTATGCAAATAAATATGACGTAACTCTATTCTTGTTTCGCATTTATTAGCTAATGTTTTAGTACTATCCATATTATGACATTGTCACTTAGTACCTATGCGGAATATTTTTGAAATTCATTGTTTGTTTGGAATTAAGCACAAAGCTACACAATGGGCTATCTGTGCTCTGCCCACCACGGGTATCGAAACCCGATTTCTAGCGTTGTAAGTCCGCAGACATGCCGCTGTGCCACTGGGGGGCTGTAAATTCATATCAGCCTTGTAAATGCTATGTACTATCACCATCCGGTAAAATGCCTTATTGACCCATGTACTGAGCTTAAGGCTTAACAATTTACTCAACGTATTGGGGATCGATTGTATTTGTCTGTTTTAATACTTCTTACAATACCCCACACTAGATCATTTGACTGGAAATAGTTTGGTCGATTTCGATTTTTAGGCAATTACAATTTACTATCGCGATTGAAACAGCACGTTTTACTAAAAAATAAATATCACTAAAAAAAAAAAAATAGTTGTAAAAAATCTAGGCGGAGAACGTCAATCGATGTTATTAATCTGGGTTTTGGTTTCATGTACTAGACACGAGTGCGCAGATAGAGGCATGTTTCTCAGCACATCAATAACATACTTAACAACTCGACAATATATCGATTCCTTTCGTGGAATACTTGACGTCAAACAAATGTGGGAAAACCTGGATCGAAGAGAGAGAGACGTCATCACACGACGTTTATTGATACACGATCCAGCAGCCAGAAGAAAATTTTGTCTAGAAAGAATTATAGGCATTACTTTAATTTATTTAATAATTTTGCTTATGTAAAATAAATGGGTTGTTTTAGGCGTATATTACTGTATATGATTGGCTATCATTATTTTGCCTTAAAACAGGAGTGAAGCAGGGTAACATGCTTTGATTATAACCCAGCATGCTGCCGAAGTTGCAGTGTGAACGGTAACAACTTTTTTCGTCGTGACGTGAAGTTAACTGTATATATACACTAAGACCGATTTAATACATTAGTGAATGTGTGTGTATCGTTACCTTTTAAAATCGAAAGGGGCTGTTGGCGAGATTTACGAGTCATTTCGTCCAGCACAGCAAGAGCTGACTAAAGCAACTGGACTATCCGATTGTTACCCAGTTGCAGGTTGATGTGTTTTTCTTTGTTTTTTAATTGCTATCATGTCCTCTAGACTTCTGAGAAATAACTTTTCTTTATGTTCAATTGTCTTTTGAAATTACCATATCTGGATCTCTCATAACAAAGTATATATTGCGGTCTACTGAAAATGACATTACACGCAGTGGTTTAATGGACACGATAACGATGTCTGTGTTTCTCATGTGGACAGAGACTCTTGTATTTTACGATGTCGAACCGTTTAAAGTTCGTCTATCTGTCTATCTGTTTTGTCTAATTATTAGTATAATTCTATGATATATAAAATAGATAAAAAAGTTATTTTATTTTTGAGTCTTCTGACGATAACTGAGAACCGATAAAAATACATTTGGAAACAAGTTTAGCAAAACAAATATAAGCACTATGAGTTAATAAAATTCTACGAGTAGGCAACAGCATTTTGAAGTATCAAACATGGCTTCAAACTGTTAGCTTTTAAATGTTTTTGTTTTACTAATAATTACGAATTTATTATGCCAAATTATTAGATTACGTAATTGTGAGGATTATTTCTGTATCCTCGGTTTTAGTTATTATATAAAATTTCA